CAATTATTTGTGCTCTAGAGGTGCAATTATTTCAAGCTCCACAAGAGGCGCAATTCTTTTGTGCTCCATGGGGGTGCAATTCTTTTGCACTCCATGGGGGCGCAATTATTCCAAGCACTACAGGGGGTGCAATTATCTCAAGCTCCATGAGGGGCGAAATTATTTGCATTCCATGGGGGGGACAATTATTTTGAGCTCCATAAGGGATGCACATTCTTTTGCACTCCACAGGGTGCACAATTCTTTCAAGTACTACTGTATGTACCTTGTGCTGTTGATAGGGTCACAAATAGTCTGTATCCAGCATTGTTTCAATGTCAGAGTGTGCTGTGCCCAATGTGAATGTGCACCAAAGGTCAGAGTGCACCCATCAAAGTGCACCCAATGTAAATATGAACCAAATGCCAGAGTGTGCCCATCAGAGTGCACCCAATGTGAATGTGCACAAAATATCAGTGCGCCCAATGTGAATGTATGAAATGTTGGAATGTGAATGGGCACAAAATGTCAGTGTTCCCAATGTGAATGCATGAAAAGTGCGCCCAATGTAAATGTGAACCAACTGTCAGAGTATGCCCATCAGAGTGCACCCAACGTGAATGTGCATGAAATATCAGAGTGCGCCCAATGTGAATGGGCACCAAATGTCATAGTGCACCCATCAGAGTGTACCCAATGTGAATGCATGAAAAGTGCACCCAATGTGAATGGGCACCAATTGTCAGAGTGTGCCCAATGTGAATGGGCACCAGATGTCAGAGTGCGCTCAATGTGAATGCACACAAAATGTCAGTGCACCCAATGTGAATGTTCACCAAATGTGAGTGGGTGCCAAATCACTTGTACCTGCACTAAGTATGCATCTGTGTCTGTTATTTTCCAGTTGTATTTCCACTCATTATCTTTTTGCATGAAATGTCAAGTGTGTCCAATGTGAATGTGCATGTGAGTGGGTGCCAAGTCGCTATGTTCCTATGGCATTTATTTTGCACAAAAAATATGTGCCCCCCCAATTGTAGTAAATGCCTGGCCCACTTTGGCAGGGATTTATGGCACTGATGCACTACACCCATTGGTCTCATTGGTGAGTCCTAATCTGTGCAATTATTTTGTGCTCTACAGGCGCAATTATTTTGAGCTCCACAAGGGGCACAATTATTTGCACTCTATGGGGGGTGCAATTATTTTGTGCTGTAGAGGCGCAAATATTTCAAGCTCCACAAGGGGCGCAATTCTTTTGTGCTCCAGGGAAGCACAATTATTTCAAGCTCTACAGAGGGCACGAGGCGCAATTCTTTTGCGCTCCAGGGCGCAATTACTTGTGCTCTATGGGGGAGCAATTATTTTGCACTCTATGGGGCGCAATTATTTTGTGCTCTAGCAATTATTTTGTGCTCTAGCAATTATTTTGTGCTCCAGGGAAGCACAATTATTTTGAGCTCTACAGAGGGCACGAGGCGCAATTATTTTGCGCTCTATGGGGTGCAATTCTTTTGTGCTCTAGCAATTCTTTTGTGCTCCAGGGAAGCACAATTATTTCGAGCTCTACAGAGGGCACGAGGCACAATTCTTTTGCGCTCCAGGGCGCAATTACTTGTGCTCTATGGGGGAGCAATTATTTTGCGCTCTATGGAGCGCAATTATTTTATGCTCTAGAGGTGCAATTATTTCAAGCTCCATGAGAGGCGCAATTCTTTTGCGCTCCATGGGGGCACAATTATTCTGAGCTCTACAGGGGGTGCAATTATCTCGAGCTCCACGAGGGGCGAAATTATTTGCATTCCATGGGGGGTGCAATTATTTCGAGCTCCATGAAGGATGTACACTCCACAGGGGGCACAATTCTTTCAAGTGCCATTGTATGTACCTTGTGCTGTTGACAGGGTCACAAATAGCCTGTGTCCAGCATTGTGTAGTGAATACAAATGTGAGTGGGCACCAAGACACTGCCAGTGTCAGATTGTCATGCCCATTGGTGCTTCAGGTGGGCACCATAACTGTCAATACCAAGCGTGTATCTGCGCCCATTATTTTCCAATGTGTATCTGTGCCCATTATTTTGTGCACCAATTTTGCCATGTGCATTTCCACCAAACATGAGTGGGCACCAAGTGTGTATTTGCGCCTATTATTTTTCTTCATGAAATGTCAGAGTGTGCCCAATGTGAATACACATGAAATATCAGAGTGTGCCCAATGTGAATGCACATGAAATGTCAGAGTGTGCCCAATGTGAATGTGCACCAAATGAAATATGAGCCCAATGTGAAGGTGCACCAAATGTGAGTGGGTGCCAAGTCAGTATATACCTGCAACAAGTGTGCATCTGCACTTGTTGTTTTTCAGTATGTATTTGGAGAGCGCCCAATGGGAATGTGCACCAAATGTCAGAGTGCGCCCATCAGAGTGCACCCATCAGAATGTGCCCATCAGAGTGCGCTCAATGTGTTCTATTCTGACTTTCTAAGGTGTCCAGACATGGGTAGGTGATGATACCTCTCATGCTCTCTCCTATTTCGTATTTTTCTCTGCCATCCCATTCTCCTCCCATTTCCAAAACATTTTATGGTCCTATCCTGACTTCTAAGGTGTCCAGACATGGGTAGGTGATGATACTCCCCATGCTCTCTCATATTTCGCATTTTTTACTGCCTTCCCATTCTCCCCCACCCTCCAGGTCACTCCCAAATCACATTGGTGCCTCCCAAATGCCCCATATTTCACTCTCTTGGATGGTACAGGATATAGGCTGGGCTCTGGGCTCCAGAAGTACACTTCCTGGTTTAATCTACAGGAATTGAAGATGGAATTCCTGGAATGGTGGATTGATTTCATGAATTTTCGGGATGGATTCCATAGATTTGCAAGATGGCTCTCAGCCAGTAACCTACAGCTACTTTTATCCAATATATAGTTATCTTTCTCTGTAACTTTTGGCTGAGCCTTAAGAAACGAAGAAGAGCACTGCAAAGCTCTGGACAATAATCAACGCAACATGCTTGACAGAAAAATCACACTTGTGAGAGTGTGACAGCCTAGACAAAACAGCTGAGTATTGAATTCGGTTGGCCACAGACAACCGTTGCTCTAAAAAATGGTATCATGGTATCAGTAGATGCTGAATTGCGTCTAAATTATGATTCCAGCTTGTTTGAGCATCCAAGCTTCTTCTCCCATGTTTTGTAGCATGAGCTTGTAGAATTATTGGAATGTTTGCCTTTGTTTGCTTGGCCCTTCCAACATCTTTCAAGTCTTTTGCTGCCATAAAATATTTACACAACTACTGGTGTTTTTCTAATAGGTATAGATTGATAGAGGACATTTATACAATTCTAATGATACTAAATTTGTACATTCAAGCTTCTTCCCCCACCCCCTGAGCTGGAAAATATACTGGACATGGCCAAAATTTGACAAAGTCCAAACATCATTTGGCGCAAAAAAATTGTTTCAGTGGGGCACATGATGTCATTCAGCAGGGCAGCTACAAACTACTTTGGTCCACGCATTTACTACAATTGGGGGGGTGCATATTTTTTGTGCAAAATAAATGCCATAGGAATATAGTGACTTGGCGCCCACTCACATGCACATTCACATTAGGCGCACTCAACATTTCATACAAAAGAATAATGGGTGGAAATACACACTGAAAAATAACAGGTGCAGATGCATACTTAGTGCACACATTTGATGTGCATTCACATTGGGTGCACTCTGACATGACATTTCGTGCCCATTTCACATTGGGCGCACTCTGACATTGAAACAATGCTGGACACAGACTATTTGTGACCCTATCAAAGCACAAGGTACATACAGTGGCACTTGAAAGAATTGTGCCCCCTGTGGAGTGCAAAAGAATTGCATCCCTTATGGAGCTCAAAATAATTGTCCCCCCCATGGAATACAGATAATTTCGCCCCTTGTGAAGCTCAAGATAATTGCACCCCCTGTAGAGCTCAGAATAATTGCGCCCCCATAGAGTGGAAGTAATTGCGCCCTGGAGCACAAATAATTGCACCCTGCAGCGCAAAAGAATTGCACCCCCCATGGAGTGCAAAAGAATTGCATCTCTCATGGAGCTTGAAATAATTGCACCTCTAGAGTGCAAAAGTAATTGCGCCCTAGAGCACAAATAATTGCGCCCTGGAGTGCAAAAGAGTTGCACCCCCCATGGAGCGCAAAAGAATTGTGCCTCTCATGGAGCTTGAAATAATTACACCTCTAGAGCGCAAAAGTAATTGTGCCCTGGAGTACAAATAATTGCGCCCTGGAGCGCAAAAGAATTGCGCCTCTCATGGAGCTTGAAATAACTGCACCTCTAGAGGGCAAAAGAATTGCGCCCCCCATGGAGTGCAAAAGAATTGCACCTCTCATGGAGCTTGAAATAATTGCACCTCTAGAGCACAAAATAATTGCATCCCCATAGAGTGCAAGTAATTGCACCCTGGAGCACAAATAATTGCGCCCTGGAGTGCAAAAGAATTGCACCCTGGAGTGCAAAAGAATTGTGCCCCCAATGGAGCGCAAAAGAATTGCACCTCTCATGGAGCTTGAAATAATTGCACCTCTAGAGCGCAAACTAATTGCACCCCCCATGGAGCACAAAGGAGCGCAAAATAATTGCACAGGTTGGGTGCCATAAACCTCTGCCAAAGTGGGCTGACCCATTGTATGAGGGGCTTTTTTTCATGCCACCCATCCATGGCGAAAAATTCACCTGTTGTTGCCTGCAGGCGCAACAACGAGGCTGCTGTCAACACATTTAAATACTTACTTCACATACAACAGGTTAATAATATATCTATTTAACTTTCTCCTGTGTGGTCCCCCACAGTGGTACTAACGAGGCAGCACTCTGGTTAACTGCCTGAAAGAAAGATGGGCACAACAATGGGATCCGTGCAGTTGGGCGCAACCCATGGGCACCAGAGGCAAAGTGGGCTGATCTGTCCTCTATGGGGCTCTGTTTGTGCGGCCCACCCATGTCGCATGGCCTATTTTAGAGTCTCGGCCCAGTCATTCCCAAGGCCGAATTCTTGACAGCTTGGCTGAGTCCGCTGACCTGCTGTTGATGGGTGCCTGTCACACACCGCTGGCCCATCAGTGATGGACCCATTTGACTGCCCTAACTGGGCCATAAACCCAGTGCTAATGGAGGTCTCTATCCGACTGATGAAAAACTGAAATTGAGACCATTTTTGACAGGCCTGGAGAGGCAGATTAATGTTGCGTTGAGAGGTGAACAATGTGAAAAAGGACATACAGTAGTGTTTTGGTGAGGACGCCATGTAGCGTGGTGTCCCTTGTTTGACCGCTTGTCCTTGTGGCAAGAGCCCCATTCAGCCTCCACCATCCACAATGGAGGCTTGTGACCAACTCCCTCAACAACTGAACCCTCATCCCAGCACTTCCAAAGAGAGCCAACATCAGAAAACTCACCCAAATTGCCTGGGCCCCAACAATCCCAAAGAAAATCAGGACAGATAATGAGGCTAAACAAAGCCTGCCATCCACATTAGTGTTCGAAAGTCTGGTTAGGGTCGGTTATTGGGTGCCCAGGGGCTGTAACTGAGACCGAGACCGGTTAGCCTTTGTCCCGAAACCTAAAATAACCTAACCGGACTGCAACTAACTGGTTACGGTCGGTTATTTGCAGTTACTAACCAGTTAGGACCGAAAAATAAAGAATCAGTTATAACAAGGCAAATATGCTCATATGTATTTTGATAGATATTATTTCTGCATATTCTAGCTTTAAAACGAGCCCAAGAACGCTAAAATTGGTGAAGAACTGACATATTTATGCAATTATCCTTGAAAGTCTACACATTTGAGTGATATTTTAGAGATTTGACTGTAACATAGTCAAATTTTAAGTGTTTTCGATGTTCTCAAGTGCGTTTTGAAGGTGTATAATATGGCTGGTTATAACCGGTTATTCCATTTTCGAAATCAACTAACCCTAACTGCGGTTAGGTTAGTGTTGCGGTTAGGTCCGGTTATTTTCCAGTTATTTTCTGGTTAACTAACCTAACTTTTAAACGCTAATCCACGTGATGATGCAGAAAAGCTGGGGTAAACATTTGCTGCAGTCTCGTCAGGTGCAAATGCTGCAGCTGGGGGAAGAATGATGTTGAAGGGTGTCAGTGGTGCTGAGGGACCAGGCGAGAGTCGTAGTACGTGATATTTACTGCCTTGATGATGCACAAACACCACATGTCGTGATGCAACTCATGGGGAGTGAGGGGAAAGCAGTTTCGGATTGACTACAGGAGACAGCAGAATATGAGCTTGTGATGTGAGTAGTGGCGATGTTGGTAAGCCTTGACTCGGGCTGGCTGCAGTGGAGGCCTGGAGTGGCATACCCCCATTTGTTGCCATAGTCTCCATGGAGGGAGACTGCAGCAACAAAAGATTTAGCCCTGTTGGACCAGGGGTAGCTGAACAAGAGCTAACACTGGCAAGAGCCATATGAGTTTTTACACTACGTGATGGAGAGAGTGGCTCTGTTCGTCGTGCGAGAACCTTGAGCAATGAATGGGATAGCTTCACAGCGTCAGACAGCTCTCTCTGTAATGTCAAAAGAGAGAGGAAGGCACTTTGCATTGCCACCTTCTTGAAGCTCACAGCAATCTCTATATCTACCTGAAACTGGGCCTCGACTTCCATTCGTGTGCGAGGCCACTGCGCGATAAAGTCCACAGCCTGAGATGACTTAAAAATGGGCATCCAACTAAACATTGGTGAGTCCGGAAATTTCTCATGAATGGTGGTGCTAGCCTAGATAACATGCGAGCAGGATTGTCAGAAAGAAAAGTCAACGGATAGCATAAAAATGGACATACCTGCCAGAAGAATGGGCAGAGCTGTTGCAGCAGCTCGAAAAAATTAACTAGGCCCTGGTTGATCCGAGCCTGCCCCCTGAGCTCAACAAGCACCTTCTCTGCAAAAGGAAATAACTGGGTTTGGAGGCTGTCTGGAACAGTGACGGTGGCCCAGGGAACATGGTAAGCCTCTCCAACATAGAAGCCTGCTAATGCAGTGACGGCCTAATGCCCCAGTAAGTTTAACCAAGGAAGGACCGTTTTGAAGAAACAACTCATGGATTTTGGGATCTTCGCGGAATAAACTTCATGCTGAACCGTACTTGCCCAGTGACCAATGGCACCTATTTCATCCGTCGTAACACTGCCAAACCATAAATTGTCAATAGCCATCAGCACATAAACAGATCTAAGACGCACCCCATCTCTTCAAGGTGAGTAGGAATGGTCTTGCGAGCGAGGTGGAGCTTCTTCTTTGATTTGATGGATGTGGACTCAATAAATTGTGTATACATTTTACAAAGGGCATCATCACCACAGGCCTTCCCCACCGTCTTTCCAAACATAAGCTTCACCTGATCTCGCATGAGCAACGTAGATTACTGAGAAGACTGGACTTGCCTTCCACCATGTCAATGGGCAAGACCAGTCCCAACCCTCAACCTTCTCGTGCAGGTTCTCCTGGTCAAAGACATAATGCAGGAGAATGGCGAGGGCACCAACTGAGCAACGTAGAGGGTTACGATGCGGCAACACGAAGTTGTAGTCCGGTTCCTGCCTCTGTTGTCCTCTGTCTTAGTGAGAAAATACAAAATAAACAAAACATGTAGCTATGGACTCCCAGCTTTGAAACCTTTGTTTCATGATACAGAGAGAGAACACCAAAAAAATGTTTACTGACACCAGAGCGCCGTCCATCTGGTGTTGTATAGTTGGGTAGGCAAAGCAAGTGAGGTTGGAGGCAGCTGAGCAATAGATTGATGAGCTCATCCCCACAGTTGAGAGCGGTGCATTGCCAAGTCCAGCTGAAGTGTGCCTTGATGACAGATGGGACTGGTTGGGTAACATGGTTGGCAACAATGAAAGAGAAAAGAAAGGAACCTCACGTTGATCAAGCTTCATGAAGATAGCAGATGTAATCTCCTCAAAGTGCACAGGATGCAGCTGTGAGTCCAAGATGGTGTTCTCGCTGATGTTGAAGAACTCATCTCTGAAGAATGTTACAATGTGAGCATGGTAACATGTCAAGTTTCAACAGAGAGCTTACTTACTCAAGGTGCACGTCATCGCACTGTCACCGGCGAACGCAGCCAAGCAAGGTCATGCTTTTTTTTAACGATGACTACAGCACATGAATATGTAAGCAAAATGTAACAGAAGCGAAAGGGAGGTCAACGAACTGATGATAATCGGCTGGGCCTTCCTTAGGGCAACCACGCATTGTGAGAAGTTTCCGTGTTGCAGCATACTTGAGGTATTCCATCGTGTGGTTGGCATCGACGATGTGATTGGGGATTGTGCCAGCAGTGATTGCCATCGGTACCCAGCGCTTTCGTGCAGGTGTTAGTGATGTCAATTTCACTTACAAACCGAAAAACTCACCTGCCACAGAGAGAGCACGCTCTTCTCTGTTTGCCACCCACTTTTTTGCCTCATGTCCATTATGTATGCATCAATCTAAAATTCATTGTTGATCAGCCAGCAGGTGTGTGAGCAAGGTGAATGCACGTACCCAAGCCTTCGAGCCTCTAGTGCCTTTAATGCAACAGGATGTTAGTCAGAAATTTGGGAATAAACAAAACCCAATGTGTCAATCTCCATAGAGTCCTCAACTGGGCCATCGTCAGTTTCCTTGTCACCCCTGTCTTCTTCGTCATCACTCTCATTGCTCGGGCCATCATCTGAATCCATGAATCCACAGTCAAAGGAGTCTTGCATCATATTTGTGTTGTCGACCATGTTCTCCACGCCAGCATTGGCAGCCCCCACAGCTGACAGAGTGGGGCTGACTAGTACTGCATGGCAACTTTTGTTGCTGCATGTTTTTTTGTGTTAGCTTGGGTTGGTTCTCGAATCAGAAGAGTGGAAGCAACAAGCTCGCCCTTCTTTCCGCTGTCCTTGAGTTTCCGCTTGCGGCACAGGTTCTTCAGAGCAGAAACATTGCAGGAAGCGCTGTAGAAACATAGTTAGACAAACGAACAATGATTGGCATTCGTTTTTTGAAACCGTTGTGCTTACTACAGTTTTTTCGCATCATTGTCACTCAAAGATTGGCCTGCAAGGATGAGGTGAGTTCTCGGTGAACAATACAAGGTATTCTGCATTGCGGGCACATACCTTGGCCTTTCAAGGTTCTTGCTGGTCCACTGGCAGGCTCTCTCGATGGCAAAAGTGGGGCTGAGGGGAAGGAACAAGGTTTGAATGCATTCAAAGAGCGCTGATGCCCTTAAACAACACACCTTCTGCTTTGGGAACGGCTGTGGCGACACTTTGGGAAGGTGCAGCTACAGACGCCAATTTTTGATGGGCAGACTCTGGGAAAAGCACTGGATCGATGCTGAAGTTGTCCGTCTGCTGAGGGATGTCGTTGTCTGGAAAGAGGAACAAGGGCACACTCATGAGTGTACAGCACGACGACAAGGACTTTGAAGTCGAGAATACTAATATATTAATTTATTGAATTATCTACTAATACTATGCTAAGTCAGCACAAAGACTTGGCCTGGTGATTTCCAGACCCTAATCCAAGTCACAGTTTGATTGTGATCTGCCAGCGAGATCACACACCCGAATTGTGATCTCTGGCCAAGTACTTCGCTTAGGGTTCTTTGATCCCATGCCTTTACAGTTTTCAATATCAATGCTTCTCCTTTTATGAGGGCATCTGTATATTGGAAAGAACGCCGTGCAGAACGCCATCAAAGAATGGTGGCCGATCCTGAGGATGTGTGACTTGCTGACCAAGTTTCCAATTGTAGCCGCACGTGTTCGTGTTCACCATCCATGCGACGAGAAGCTTACCGGGATCGTCTGACCCCCCGGAGAGTTGGCTACAAGCCTTAGGACTATTAGCCCTAAGGCTTATTGTACTTGTTTGTGCAATCATTGATGGGCCATTGATGGGCCACGCTGAGAACGATCAAGAATTCAGCAAAACCCCGCCAGCCCATCAGACTCTGTTTAAACAACAACTTACATAGACTTTTTCGTGGAACGACCAACGTCTCAAATAATTTTCTGTGAGTAATAAAAACAAGAGAAGCTTTCAAATTCCAGACAACTTTTGTGAAAGATACCCCAATTTTTCTGAAAATGATGTGGAGTGAGGGAATCAACACCACCAAACACTTTACCAAATAGAGTGTCAATGCTGTAGCCTTATACGGTGACAGATTTCATGAAGAATAAACTTACATTGTTCTAAGACAAATGTATACATAGTGAAAATTGGAAAGAAGAACTTACAAAGTCAAGCTAAGCACTGGCTAAGCATCAACCAATTAGCACCAATAACTACCACTCAAGCATGATGTGGCAGTGAAATTTTTGTGTGTTTGATGCTCTAAATAAATTGTATATATGTGGAACTGAATGTTGTGAGCGGCATGATAAGTACAGAAGGGGAACGGAGAAGCGACACCAATGTGACAGACACGACAGACCCATCACCTCGTCACGTTTAGTTGTGGCCGCACGTGAGAGCCTCAGCGGCGTTTTCCGAAGGAGCCTCAAGGCTAAGAGCCCTGGGGCTTGCAGCCACTAGCACGATTAGTGATGTGCCAGGCCCGGCCCAAAGCCGTAAGCCAGCCAGGGCCAGCCTTCCCAAAGCTGGGCCTTCTTGGGCCGTCGTCAAAGCCCAGGAAAGCCCAAGGCTCAGGCTCATAATACATGAAGCCTTGAGCCGTGGCCTGAGCCATGGCCTCAAAGGTTGGCAGGACCTTGCTTTGGAGAGGTAAAATTGATGTGATTAAGTTGTTGAGAATTGTTGAGAAGAGTGGCCCCTAGCATTTCAGGGTGTTTGGTGGCAAGATTGTCAAGATACATCATCGGTCATCATGCTGAAACATCTCTGGGTCACATGCGAGGTGAACTGTAGGGTGCATAATCAGGAGTGCAAAAGAAAGTTGGTGATAGAGGGGACGTATTGTCTTATCGCTGAGGCCTGAGGTTTATGATGGGGAATGACTCAGATTCTACTGTGATCTTTATGCTAAAAAGTTGTAAGTGTGATATGGTTGTGATATGGTTGTGCTAATTATTTAGTCTTACAGCATTGGGGTTGATAACATTGATTTTCTTGACTCATACTCCAACGAACTAGTCATATCCATGTTCAAAAGGTGAGTAAGTTTCCAAGACACATAAAAAGCGACATCATTTCAAGAGTAGCTGATTGTTTGTTCATGTTTTTCAACTTTAGCCCATGAGCCGTGGCCTGAGCCTGAGCCAGGCCTGAGCCAGCCTAAAGCCTTGCAAAAAGCTCAGGCTTGAAATTGGACAAGCCTGAGCCGTGCAAAGCCGGGCCATAGCCGTGGCTTTCAGGCCAAGCCAGGCCTGCAACTGTCGCAGCTCTCCCCCCATCTCACTTTCCTTATAAGGAAAGTTGATCGTTTGGGGGAGGATATAGTACATAACGAACAGTAGAAATATATGCTGGTTTGGTGTAGTGGTTATTTGTGCAGGTTTCTTGGTGCTTACTAAAGTGTTCGGGGTTTGATTCTGCTTCCTCCATTTTTTTTCTACTTAAAACAATTACTTTACAGGATATTTTTCTCTCTGCGCGGTAGCGTGTTCGTGTTTTTGGTTAAGTTAGGAGGTTCGGTTAATGGTTAGGGTTGGGGATATTTTCCTCCCTGCGCGGTAGCGCGTTCTCGGTTAGGTTAGGTGGTTAGGTAGTTAGGTTAGGTGGTTAGTTAGGTTAGGTGGTTAGATGGTTAGGTGGTTAGGTGGTTAGGGTAGTTTATATGCTCGAGAACACGCGGTAGCGCGCTCTCGAGCCGACTTAGGGCAATGTGCCATTGCCCTAAGTCAGGTTAGGTGGTTAAATAGTTAGGGTAGGTTAGGTGCTCGAGAAC